ATCCCCCCCCCCCCCGAAATATCTTCCTTAAATTTTTGCCATACTGCTATTCGTCGGTGTAAATGGTTCAGTACTTGGTCTTTTCTATCTTTAATAGCTTATGACTTATTAAACACTGCAACTTACAGGGAAATTTGATGTGTCACAAAGACTTACAATGACAAATATAAAAAAATAGCCACACCGCCTAGGCCAGACCTCAAACCCCCCCCCGAATGTGGTTTACATTTTCAAATCAGCTTGATTCCTATTTGAAAGCCAGGTTGTATTCAGATGCTGTATTTCCTGACTGATTCTTAAAGGTCCTCCTCATTGCAGGGCCCAATAAAAATGAATAATCTTTCTCTGTATTGAAAGCGTAGATCAAGAGACGACTTCGATCCTTCATCATCTCCGAACGTTGATAGCCACCATGCTGCTACTCATGGTCCAAAAGCTCCACAATTTCTCATGAACATTTAAAAAAAATTGCGCATGATGCAATGGAGAGAGTTTATATTGTCGATACATACCGGGGAGCATATGCATTTATTTCCATGAACGCAAAATTGAATGAAATGCAAAAGTCACCGATGAAGTCATTCTTTCCAAGCCGAGGAAAGAAAAAGGACTTCGCCTTCACAGCCTGGTTTCTTCGTGCGTCCTTTCCTCCCCCGTCTGGACATGAATGAATTCCTCGAGGGAGAATGCGAGGGAGGTTCTCTCTTCCTGGCGCATTGGGTAAGAATCGAGGTGGTTCGGTGCATGAGATAGGAAAATGGTGTGGCGGTCGGAGAGAAAAGGAGAGAAAGCCTTTTTCCTCTATAGTTACTTCGGTGTGAAATTCTTTTTCATGCCACGCTGCATGAGAGACGAAGAAATAGGACATGTAATGCTCCTCAACATCAATTGTACTAGTGGCAGGTAAACCTGCTGCAAACCGGAGGAAACGAAGTGCTTTTTGGCCTTGGAAGAAATCACTATGATCTTGAGAGACCTCCACCCAGTAGCGCCCGATCGTGTTCAATCAACATTTCGTTGAACCCAGCGATCCATTATGGTCCTTGGGACAGTTCTATCGACTGCTTAAATGTGCAAAACTCAAAGCTATGAAAAACAGTTCAAATTATGCGTTCTTAGAAAAAGCCGTAGTAAAAAGTAGTTTGTAAAAAAGTAAAAAGTTCGTAGTAAAAAGCCCATATGCTGCCTGCGACTTATTCCAATAGACGTGCATCTACTGCAACTTCAACTAACTCGCATGTTTAATATTTTATGAAACAGCAAACAATTTGAGGATCGAACTTTAATAAATTCCATCTACACTTTACTAAGAGAATACTACACGAGAAAAAATTCTAACCTCTCCTAAGTAACATTTTTCAGGAGATACAGGTAGGTAAGACGATGATATATCTTTTACCTTTTAAAAACTGCAGATGGCTCGGTGGAGAATAAAATTTGTACATAAAAATAGAGAACATGTTATCCTTTATGCTGCTCCTTCTGTTTATAAAATTGACATTGAGCTATTAAGTTCTCGTTAATAAAAAAAAAACACGAAGAAATGAGCTGTGCTTTTCAAACCAAATTGCTCAATATTTACGCTCTTTCAACGATTTTTAGGTCGAAATTTCTCTTAATGAGGATCCCTTTCGTAGCAGCTCAATTCATGATTATTCCAGGGGAAGAATGAAGAAAAGTTACATGGAGCTATCTAAAAACAAACATTTTTCAGCGTGAGTCCTTCAGACACGTAGTTCCTTTTAGCATTTTCGATTCCTCTATGATTACAAGTGAACTTTCCTAGCCCCTATTGCCCCATCTTTCACTCGTTTTTGGAGAAGAAGTCAAGGGAGACGGATTTCGCAGGTGATGGGGAGGGTTTTCGAACAGGAGACATCCTCCCACATCCCCCCTGGAGAGTACCCCATCGCGACACATCTAGCTGGATCTGTTCCATCCTTTAAGTTGGGCTCTCCCGGAAGCCAGAAGGTCTTCATTAAATCAGACACCAATCCTTCTGCAACGAAAATAATTCGAATATACGTGAGGTCAGCGTGCATGGAATATTCATCTGTTCTTCTATCCCAATGGTATATGAGCATGTCAAGTTTGCTGGGACAAGTAAATTACCTTCATACGCCCCATCATTCTTTCTAAGAATATAACTTTTTCTATTTAAATTATTTTCTTTTATTATTTTCTTTAAAAAATAATTTCCACACCCATTCATGATCCAAATATGGATCTTCATCCTCACCATCGCCCCAAGAAAACTGGCCATTCCAATCCATGTCGTGAGCTGCGATCCAAAACTTGTTTTGGGATGGGAAATGCGATTCCATGAATTCAAGGACGTAATCGTGCCACTCTTGACCTCGATCGTCCATGACGAGGTGGGCCAAACCTTCGCCATTGCAAGTGGTCTTTGCTTTCATGTATTGTCCTTCCCCCATCGCCCTCAGAAAATGAATTTTCCCCGTGACCATCGCAAATTCGAATTTTTATGGAGCAAATTTTTCTGCCGAAAAGGAATGAAATGTTGTGGATACAGAAGCTCTTAGTTTTTTCACGCAAAATCTATGACATAGTTGTTACATGAACTATAGTTAGCATAAAGTTTCATGGTGAGGTTAATGTTTCCATGAATGTAACATGTACAAAGAAAGCTATGTTAAATCATTTATAAAGGAAAACTGTGGGTGCACTGTCTCCCTTACTACTCCTCGAAATCTTAAGCTATCCATGCGTGTGATTTAATTTATTCATACATGCGAAATCATGTTGCGCATCGCAACACCCGAGTAGCGCTTTTTAGGCAAAGATGTTCATTATTTAGCTTAGAGGTGAACTTCCTGAATTGTTAAACAAGGAATTTCAGATTTTTCGGTTGTAATCATTTAGGAAAATAAGCAAAAGTTGAAAGAGTGGGAGTGAAACATACTTTTTTCAAACTTTATAGGCTGGATATGATAAATTTCCCGGCCAATTTTGCATCTATAATTCGAATTAAAAATGCAGATTATTTTTAATTTCATCTTGGCAACAGGTTTTATGAGTTATATGAGTAAGGAGAATTTAGAAATGATGCTTGGATTTAAAAAAAAATTAATTAAGCGATAGGTGTTCATACAATCCAATTTAGAACTTAATTATCAGCCACATATATTTAAAAATTCATTCATTAAGCATTGATGTGGAAAAGTCCGCATTATCCATTCTACGTTTCATTAATAAATAACTCCCTTTTTCATCACAGGCTTCGTCTTGGTAACTTTTCCGGGAAAACTTGATTGTGAAACGGGGCTTCCATGTAGCTGCTTTTCAGTACTATCAGCATTACAAGTTTAAGAGCGTGTCAAGTCTGTCATACCTTTTTGGTATTCACATATTTTTCTTTCTACGC